TGGGCTCAGAGGTAAGGTCAGCTGAGTGGTGGTGCAACAGGTTAAAGCACGGACGATGAAGCTGGCTTCAGCTCCTGCAGCACGAGTTCCATCTCTGGCCAGGGAGCTGACCCACAGGGCGCGGCAGACCTCTCCTGTCCCGCCCACTGCTCCCCTCAGCAGTGGACTTCGTCCATCTGCCTGTTCTGCTCCCCGCTCTGTCTCTGGTGGATCCTCTGACCGCCTCTGCACCTCTGACCTTACCCCAGGTTCTGTATGAATAAGTAAATAAATTAAAAAAAAAAAAGATTAGCTGAGTAAAGCGGAGGGTGGAGGGAAAGACATGGGCATTGGGAACCCCACGCCAGGCAGAGGCGTGAAGGAGCAAAGCTCCTGTGGAGGAGGCTGCCTGCCCCAGGGAGATCACCCCAAGCACAGCTGCCTTCCCTGCAGGCACCGGGGACTGAGCAAGAGCCTGTGAGGGATCCTGGTGTGCCCTAGATTCCTGTCTTATGTCTCCATCATCACCTCTCACTCTTTCCCTGAGACCCCCACATCCACCTAACCACATCCGTCCTAACGTGTGGAATCACCCTGAGTACACTCAGCGCCCGGCCCGCCCACCCGCTAGCCACTGTGGGGGTGATGTCACGTGACAGGTAAAACTCTGCAGCCAGATTCTGGGTGGAGCCCCTCCTTCTGGCCCCCTCCCCCCGTGTCCCCAAGGGCCCAGTAAGGCCAATGCCTCCCTTAAGTGGCGCTCACACAGCGACTGAAGTAATGCTCCTCTCACGTCCCTCTCCGAGGGTGCTTGGGAGCTCGGAAGAGCTCACCACAGAGCTGGGCCTGGGACGAGCTTGCCAAACAGTGTTGGCTCTTCCACCATTGAGGACGCCCTGTGTGCCCGGGCTGGCCAGTCAGGGCCACTTACTGTCCTGAGTGGGAGAGCTCCCTTTCCACGACACCCACTATGGAAGAGCGGTGTTTCCTGCTTCTCCAGCTAGGTGGCTTTATTAAAGATTTATTTATTTATGCACACAAGAACTGGTGTAGGCCAGAGGTGCAGGGGGATGAGAGGATTCACCAGAGACAGAGTGGGAAGCAGAACAGGCAGACCGACAAAGTGCACTGCTGAGGGGAGCAGCGGGCGGGTCAGGAGAGGTCTGCTGTGCCACGTGGGTCAACTCCCCGGCTGGGGATCGAACTCAGGCTGCAGGGGCTGTGGGCAGCTTCATAGAAGTCTTTAAGCCCTGTGCCTCTAGGGGGGGCCCTGCAGCTAGGTTTTAAGAAGGAAGAGAGCCCACTTGAATGGGACGATTGCCTCCTGCAGGAGAATGGGGAGTCCTGAGCCCTCACTGGAGGGGAGGGCAGGATGGCACAAAGCTAGCGGAGACTGGCTTTCTGAACACAGGGGCGCCTGCGCATGCTTTGTTTTCTTTCGTAATTCAAAAGAAACAAGTCAAATTTCAGAGAGAAGCCTGCTTTCTGGAGGTGGGGTGCCCGGGTGCAGCTGCGGGACAGCTGTGGAATCTGCGGCTGCTGCAGAAAGCAGAATCCCTTCTGCACCAGGACCCGGCGCACTCCTGACCCTCCTGACCCGGAGTGAGGGGAGCCCTTCTCCCACAGAGCTGCCTCCCAGGCAGGTGCAGCGTCAAAGTGCTCAGTGCTTCTGTGCCGCGTGTCACGCATCCTGGGGACCAGGTAACACGCCGCAGCTTGTCTTTGGGCCTCCACGTGGACACTTGAATGCAAATCAAGTCCCAGCCTCAACCTTAAAAGCTACACCCATCCGTCAGTGTCTCAACCCTGGTGCCATGGTCATCCCGGGCCAGCTCACCTTGTCCTGTGTCCGGGAGGGTGTTCGGTGGCCTCCCTGGCCCAGATCTGCCTGCTCAACGCCAGGAGCACCCAGCTCCCAGTTGTCACACCGCAGAAGTATCTGCAGGCAGTGCCAAGGTCCTTGGGGGCCAAGTCGTGCCAGGTTGAGAATCACTGGTATAAACTGGAGTAACGCTGAGCCAAGTAGGATTAAGCTACTGCCCCGAGTGGGGGGCTGGCTGGCTCGGCCTGTCCCCTTGGCTGGGGCAGGCTCTGTGGCACGTGCACCCCGGGCAAATGCAGACCCAGCGCCACGCTGGCGGTCTGCACAGGGAGGGCCGTGCTGCTGCCGCAGGCTGGCGCAGGGCAGCTGTGGCAAGGGCTGCCGTGTGAGGAGCCGTGTGGCAGGCAGGGGCACAGCGGGTCTCGTGGAGAGCGAAGCAGAAAGCGCCATTGCCGGGTCGGAGGTCTCAGCAAGCTCCTAGGTGTCGGGAGGCCCCTGCAGAGCGACTACCTGTGTCTGCGTCCATCCCCATCTCGGGAGCTTCTAAAGCCTCCACACGTGTCTCGGCATGGTCACAGGGCCCCGCCCCCGCCCCGTCAGGGCCCGGCCGGCCCCTTGCAGGCGTGGTCACTCATGAGCAGCGAGTGCCTTCGTCCGCCTGCTGGGCCAAGCTGTCTGAGCAGGGTGTGTGGCTGGACCCGCCTCCGCAGGACGCTGGCTCATTCCCCTCCGCGGTCCCAAGCAGGCCAGGGGCCTGTCCCGGGGTGTATCAAGCCTGGGGTGGGCCGAGCAGGGACGCTGGACCTCCACGTGCGCTCCGGGCCGGGCACCACGAGAGATGGGCAAGCCTGCCTCCACCGTTCCGAGACTGGCAAGCTTCCCCGGGGCCAGCGTCAGCGGGGCCGGGGTCAGCGCTGGGGCGTGGGTGTGATGGGCCGCTGGGGAGAGGGCAGGCGCAAGGCTCCCTTGGCTTGCAGGGAGGCCTTGCTCCCAGGTCCAAGGTCTTTCTCTGTGGAATGTTCTCTTCTGGGTGAGGCCCTTATCTCCCTCCTGCTCGGGGTGTTGGCGACGGTCAGGGCAGGCCGCAGCCCCTGCCCGGCCGTGTCACCTGCCCTCGGCCCCCATTCCTTGCCCTATGGGATAGCGTCAGAGTGCGCCCATAGGCTGGATCTCTGCCACGATCTGGCAACAACCTGAGCCGCACTGTGCAGCGGAGGGAACGGGCTCAGGGTGGGGAGAGATGTTGCCCGGTCAGTGCCCGTGAGTAGGCGCTGGACTTGCCCAGGACCCTGGCTCACGTGTTCCTCGCCCTTCCTCCTCTGGTCTCCCTCCCTCTGCCCGTCCTGCCTGCCAATTCCCCTTGGCTGTCTTAGCCTGCCCCAGCTCCGTCTTCCGCCCTCCCAGCCCCATGGCCTGACATGCCTGTCTGACCTGTTGGCTCCTACAAGAACACATGGGATAGATCAGCAGTGTCCCGGGGCCTCCTGACTGTAAAATCGTGTGGGAGGAAGGGAGAAAAGCAAGTCACAGGCCAGCGCACGGCCAGGAACCCAGCCAGGCCAGCTGCTGTGGGACTGAACAACCCAGAGCCTGGGGGAAGCTGGCCAAGGTGAGGGGGTTTGAACCCCCTGTGGGGCCATGAGGACCGAGACACTCAGCAGCCCTTTCCCTGGATCTCTGCCGGTGTGATTCCTGCACTCAGTTACTGTTGCCCAACTGGCCCCAGTTTGCCACAGCCACATCCTAAACTCACACCCCACCCTCTCTGTGGTCTCCAGGCTTTGCCTGGAATAAGCTGCCCTCTTTCTGTACCTGGCAGA